AGACAAATCAGGCTTCAATAAATCAAAATTTACAGAGATTATAGTAAGATATGGTGTCTATGTGTATCTAGATTTCTATAGAAATGTAACTCAAATCGTTCGCGCGCATTATGATAGTTTAATTCGATACACTTTCTTACCGCCCATAGCCGTGCCGATATATTAACCTGTGCGGAATACGCGCGTAAGATACTTTGCCTAATTAATTAAACCACTCGCGCTTCAATAAACTCAAGACATCTACAGAGAGTCATAGGATAACACGGTTTATGATGGTATTCTAGATTCTTAGAAAAGTAACTCAAATCGTTCGACGCATAATAATAGCTTAATTGTACACTTTCTTTAAGTTAAACACAAGCAGCTCTGAGTCATTTTGAAGAAATAATGACAACTGTAATTTTACAAGATAAATGCGTTACACTCTTCCACTCGCTCGAGCTGCCTAAAATTTGTGCCTTTGCAGTTTCTAGGAAATCTAGATACACATAGACCACATGTCTTAGCTATAATCTCTTGTAAATTTTTGAGTTTTAATTGAAGCAGATAGTCTAATTTAATTACTACGGACCCTGTAACAGCATATCCATACAGCGCTGTACTTATAGGCGCAGCGGCTGTGCTGGATCAATTTGGAAACAGATATGCGCTCCAGCCGATCACGTGACGATTTTTTCCGACTTGTCATGGCGCAACTCTCTGTATACCAGGACCCTAGAGTATAGCACGTATAGCCTGGGTTAAGGTAATTTAGGGCTTAGAGGTATGGTTAGGAGTTTTTGCATTCATTCCGAATAATCGGGAATACGTCTGCTGACATCAGTTGAGTGATACACAGAAATCTTTGTGCATCACTTCGTAGAATACCTAACGGTGCCATAAAGCTGGAGTTGCCCATCGCCTACTAACTAAGTTTTAGACTGAATATTTTTTTACTTCTAACTTCTACCATAATCTTAGTTCTAGTTTCTACTTTTAAGTATAATATTAAATAATAATATTAATAAATTAATATTCTAAGATAATATCTACTATAATAGCAACTTTATTCTTCTTATTTACTTCAAACCTACCTTCGCATTACGTTGTAAAGTTCCTATACAACTGACTAGTCCACGTTTAAGGAAGCAATAAACGTCCATGGGGCTATACGTAGCCATTGGGGTTACAGCCCTAGGCAACTATAGACGAAAGGTCGATAGACCGAAGGCCCGATAAGACGAAGGTTTTACTTCGATACGCAGTGGCTACATCTCAAATCACTCGCTGAGCTAGGCTACGCATACTGGACATCCAGTATGCCGTATTCGAACCGTGTGAAATATGACCGGCACATCCACGCAAATGTCATTATAATTATAAATTATATGATGCCACTATTAACCATATTATATGGCCCTAACCCTTACCCTAACTCTTAACCCTAACCTTTGCAAACATGGTTCAGGTTCCTATCGCGACCTTTCGGTCTATAGGGCTGCCCCAGCAGCTCGATGTAGAAGCTTGGGCTAAAGCCATGGTAGTTAGCTTTTTTTAGCGAATGGCACTGAGGGTGCGTCACATTCACAGCCAGAGTTTTTTTTGCAGCCCTCAGTGCGTTCTATTTACGTCCCATTCGGCCTATTAGTATGTTACTGGGACGGCGACCGCCCATTTTACGTGGTCATCCGAGCCACGGGAGATTCTACAGTCATCCAAATGTTGAAGAGGCCAGCGTTTCTTACACCTTGAGGAAAATTCACTGCCCGGCCGTGGTGTGCAGCCCCTATGTGTTTTAGGCCTAATTACGTCTATGTTGTACATTGTAAATTACAAACTTGAATCTCTTATCAATGTAGTCCGATGTCTTCTCTGATCCATTGCCCACATGACGATTTGTGGTAAATTTGTTCGTGGGCTAGTGAAACCAAATCTACCAATAAAATCAGTTCGGTGTGGGCATTGCGTCTCAGCGAAAACCATACACAAATTAAGTTTAAATCTACAAAAAAATGCCTGGTGTAGGCATTGCCTCAGGGAATACTAACACCAAACCATACCAATCACAAAAATCGCTGGTGTGGGCATTGAGTCAGAAGAAACTCTGCACGTCACACTATACATCTGATTCCATGTGGAATGCTGACTAGTAATAAGTAGTATAATATTTAGAGAATTTACCACAATTCCTACAATGATCAATGCATAGGTACCTAAGGGTAGTGCAGTAGTGTAAACTGTCCACAGTGGAGAATACCAGTGACCCTGTGAACTGTAGCATATAGTATGATTTAGTTCTAGTACTATATAGATAGTTAACATAGAAATTGTTTGACTACAGTAAAACAATGCAAGTGAAAGGTCTATACCAACTAGCTGACAGGGGATGGCAATTATATGGTAATCAAGTTCTCAGCCGGATTTACAGCACTGGTGGTGAAAGTAGCTTTCTCTTAATATTCTAAGTATATATACTATATAGAACTTATTCTTCTTATACTTCACCTACTTCTACTTGTAAGTTCTATACACTGGACAGTCCGTAAGGAATAAACGTCCAGGGCTATAGCTAGCCATGGGGTTACAGCCCTAGGCTATAGACCGAAGGTCCGATAGACCGAAGGCCCGATAGACCGAAGGTTTATTCGAATACGCAGTGGCTACTCGTCCGGAATCGGTCGCTTAGCCTCCAGGCTACGCATCTGGACATCCACTGATGCCGTATTCGAACGTGAATATGCCGCACATCCACCAATGTCATTATAATTATAAATTATATGATGCCACTATAAACCATATATATGCCCTAACCCTTACCCTAACTCTAACCCTAACCCTTTGCAACATTCGGTCTATCGGACCTTCGGTCTATAGGGCTGCCCCCAGCCATGGTGTGTGACATAGCTTGGGTAAAGCCAGGTAGTTGGCCTTTTTTAGCCGAATGGCACTGAGGGTGGTCACATTCACAGCCAGAGTTTTTTTGCGCCCTCAGTGGTTCTTTTACGTCCCCATTGGCCTTAGTATTACTGGAGACGGGACCGCCATTTTACGTGGTCATCCGAGCCACGGGAGATTCACAGTCTCCAATGTTGAGAGCCAGGTTTTTACACCTTGAGAAAATTCACTGCCCCGGCCGTGGTGTGCGTCCTATGTAGTTTAGGCCTAATTACGTCTATGTTGTAACTTGTAATTTACAAACTTGAATCTCATCAATGTAGTCCGAGTTTCCTCTGATCATTGCCCACACTGACGATTTGTGGTAAATTTGTTGTGGGCTAGTGAAACCAAATCTACCATAAATCGTTGGTGTTGGGATTGGTCAGGAAAAACCAACACAAAAATGTTAAAATCTACAAAAAATCGCTGGTGTAGGCATTGCTCAGGGAATACTAACACCAAACCAACCAATCACCAGAAATCGCTGGTGTGGGCATTGGTCAGAAGAAACTCTGACTACACTTACCTATTCCATGGGATGCTGTGTAATAAGTAATATAATATAGAGATTTACCACAAGTTCCTACATGTCATAGCCATAGGTACTAAGGTAGTATTGTGCCCAACTGTTGACGGACGGACGGACGGACGATCATGCGATTCTACAAGCTGCATCTGACTATGTCAGATGAGCTAAAAACAAGAGATAAAAGTCTTATTATATCTTGATTAAAAGTAGAGCGCAGTGTTTCTTGCTACCTGGACAATTTCATTAGTTTAGGAGGAATTTTTGCCTCGTGCCTGTTTGAAGCTATCGTAGGTTTTCACATCGTACAGATTCAGTTCGGTTTAGAGGAATTTTCACACACATTCACGGCATACTGAAGGAATGCAAAGGAATCATATCATAATATACTTCCACTTTCGCTATGTTTCAGCTACTTATATCATATTAAATATACTGTCTGTAGTTGTTTTACTATAGATGGGCAGACTGCCATTTCATCTAGTCATCTGTGCCAAGAAAGGTTCTGTCGCTAATGAACTCCCAGCCTTGAACATGTAATGAGTGGTATGAGCATCACATCTCCACCTTGGAATCTCCAAGATAGACATGTAGTATGGATTTACCTTTCCAATCATTACTGTGACAGTATTTTGCACTCAGTAATAAGGAAATAGATCAATTTCATGAGCAGTGAACGCTCTCATGGTAAGTGTTAGAGTGATGTAACCTCTATTAGCGCTCATAGGGTCTATGTCCCCCAGGGTACTGCCGAAACGTACCCTGGTAACTATTTGATATGGTTAGGGTTAGGGTTAGGGTTAGGGAGTAGGCCTAGGCGACTCCCTAGACTCATTAGTGGAGTAGGCGAGGTACGGTCCAGCATATTAGATAGTACCAGGGTACGTTCCGGTATACCGAACCGTACACAGGGTACGTTCCGGCAGTACCCTGGGGGACATAGACCCTCTCAGCTCTATTAGCCACCCAGTAAATCATTTAGTGAAATACCCTAGTCAATGTGCAATGTGGGCACCGATTATAACTACGACTAGTAGCCCTGATTCCCGTTAGCAGGATTCTGTCAACTAATCTAACATTAACAACAGGCTCAGCAACAACAAGATTCAACAACAGTGTTGAGAATTATCTATGGCTATGTATCAAACTATCATACTTTGCGAAATAAAACAAATAAAAACACTTGAAGAACAAGCACGCATGTCTTCTAAAAATTCTTATAGACTAGTGCTATTTAAATCTTTCATTCCACTACTGCTATTTATTTGTAATTATTATTATATAACATGCATTCATTGTGACTGCTGTCAGTCACACCGACACTGTGACAGTGACAGTGCAACTGTAGCCTAACTGCTCAGACTCAGTGCTTGCCCGGCGTTTCTACGTGGCCGTTAGCTCTAGTACTATAGCCCGCGTACAGTTGCCGCAGGCGCTAGCTAGCTAGCACCTATTCTAGCTAGCTAGCTAGCGGCATGCGGCAACTGTACGCGGGTTATAGTACTAGAGCTACGTCGCCGTCGGCTCATAAATTGATATTGTTAACGTTAAACCTTACGAGCAATTTTGGGTGTGAGACAATCACACGAAGATCAAAGTACACAGGTGATTCTATGCCGCTTTTTAAAATAAAAGAGCCGAATTTGATGGCTTGAACATCATATAAAGTTAGGATCAAGTCATCCAAACTTATGCTTGGCGCCATTTTGTACACTGTAGGCCGAACTTTTCATCACACGGATATCAAAACAACTTATAATGTACTTTTGCATTAAGAAATCAGTACAATTTGTAATATAAATTTAAGAAAATTAAGTAAAAAAAAAAAAATATGGAAATAATAGAAAGTTCTCTAATATATATAGTTTATAATAAATTTTAATAATTTATATTTTTTTCAGCTGCTGCCTCAAATTATCCGATAACCAGCATGGCCGCCCTCCCATCGCTTTCTAGTAAAAAAACTTGATAAGATTGGTCGGCTACACACTCTAGAGAATGCTAATTCAAACAAACGTCTTAAGACGGTTCTTTATTGAAATGAAGTTTGCAGTGTGTTTACACTTTTTACTTTTTGTTGCAGCAAAAGCTGGCGATGTAAGTGGTAGTAGTAGTCGCTACGGCCGCAAATCCAATTTAGGCACCTTAGGTATCACGAAGTGATGCCACAGATTTCTGGTATCATCAACTGAATGCAACAGACTTTCCGTATAATTTTTCATCAAAGAATGTGCAAAAACCCTAACCCTAACCCTAAGTCATAAAGTATAACCTTAGGCTTAGGTATCACGAAGTGTGTTAGGGTTAGGGTGGGTCCCTATATACAGAGAGTTGCGGCCAACTCAGGATTTGACTCATGTTGTTTCCAAATGGATCACCACCTGCCGCTTAAGTACAGCGCTGTATGGATACGCTTACAATGCGTCCGCTAGTAATTAATTAGACTAATCAGGCTTCAATAAACTCAAAATTTACAGAGATTATAGCTAAGAATGTGTCTATGTGTATCTAGATTTCTTAGAAATGGTAACTCAAATCGTTTGCGCGCCATTATGATAGTTTTAATTCTACACTTTCTTACCGCCCATACCGCGTGCGTATATTAACCTGTGCGATACCGCGCGTAGATACTTTGCCTAATTAATTAAAACCACTCGCCGCCTTCAATAAACGTCAAGAATCACAGAGATCATAGATAACACGTGTTTATATGTATTCTAGATTCTAGAAAAGTAACTCAAATGTTCGCGCATATAATAGCTTAATTGTACACCTTTCTTAGTGTAAACACAGCAGCTAGTCATTTTGGAGAGAATAATGACAACTGTTAATTTACAAGATAAATGCGTTCCACTCTCCACTCGCTCGCAGCTTGCTAAAATGTGCTTTGCAGTTTCTAGAAATCTAGATACACATAGACACATGTCTTAGCTTATAATCTCTGTAAATTTTGAGTTTATTGAAGCCGAATTAGTCTAATTAATTACTACGGACCATTGTTACAGCATATCCATACAGCGCTGTACTTATAAGCGCAGCGGTTGTGGATCAATTTGGAAAAACACATGCCGTCCACGATCACGGTGACCGATTTTTTCCGACTTGTCATGGCGCAACTCTCTGTATACAGGGACCCAAGGTTAGTGGTTAGGGTTAGGATTAGGGCTAAGGTTAGGGTTAGGAGTTTTTTGCATCATTCCTTGATATTACGGAAAAGTCTGCTGCATCATGTTGATGATACACAGAAATCTGTGCATCACTTCGTGATACCTAAGGTGCCTAAAGTGGAGTTGCACCGTCGCCTACTAACTAAGTTTAGACTGAATATTTTTTACTTCCAACTTCTAACCCTAACTTAAGTTCTAGTTCTACTTCTAAGTATAATATTAATAATAATATTAATAATTAATATTCTAAGTATATATACTATATAGAACTTATTCTTCTTATACTTCACCTACTTCTATCTTGTAAAGTTCTATACCTGGACAGTCCGTTAAGGAATAAACGTCCAGGGCTATAGCGCTAGCCATGGGGTTACAGCCCTAGGCCATATAGACGAAGGTCCGATAGACCGAAGGCCCGATAGACGAAGGTTTATTCGAATACGCAGTGGCTACTCGTCGGAATCAGTCGCTTAGCTCCAGGCTACGCATCTGGACATCCACTGATGCCGTATTCGACGTGAAATATGCCCGCACTTCCACCAATGTCATTATAATTATAAATTATATGATGCCACTATAAACCATATTATATGCCCTAACCCTTACCCTTAACTTCTAACCCTAACCCTTTGCACATTCGGTCTATCGGACCTTCGGTCTATAGGCTGCCCCCAGCCATGGTGTGCTGAACATAGCTTGGTAAAGCCACGGAGTAGTTTAGCTTTTTTTAGGCGAATGGCACTGAGGGTGGTCACATTCACAGCCAGAGTTTTTTTGCGCCCTCAGTGGTTCTTTTACGTCCCATTGGCCTTAGTATTTACTGGAGACGGGACCGCCCATTTTACGTGGTCATCCCGAGCCACGGGAGATTCACAGTCTCCAATGTGAGAGCCAGCGTTTTTAACACCTTGAGAAAATTCACTGCCCGGCCGTGGTGTGCGCCCTATGTAGTTTAGGCCTACATTACGTCTATGTTGTTAACTTGTAATTACAACTTGAATCTTCATCAATGTAGTCCGAGTTTCCTCTGATCCATTGCCCACACTGACGATTTGTGGTAAATTGTTGTGGGCTAGTGAAACCAAATCTACCATAAATCGTTCGGTGTTGGGATTGGTCTCAGGAAAAACCAACACAAAAATGTTAAATCTACAAAAAATCGCTGGGTGTAGGCATTGCCTCAGGCGTGAATACTAACACCAAACCAACCAATACCAGAGAAATCGCTGGTGTGGGCATTGGTCAGAAGAAACTGCTGATACACTTACCTATTCCATGGGATGCTGTGTAATAAGTAATATAATATAGAGATTTACCACAAGTTCCTACATGTCATAGCCATAGGTACTAAGGTAGTGCAGTAGTGTAAACTTCCACAGTGGAGAATACAGTGACCCTGTGAATGTAGCATATAGGTAGATTTAGTCTAGTACTATTAGTAGTAGTAACTAGGAATTTTGACTACAGTACAATGCAGTGAAAGGTATACCAACTACTGACCAGGGATGGCAATATAGGTAATCAGTCTCAGCGGTACAGCTGAGTGGTGAAAGTAGGCCTATGTAAAATACCAAGCAAGCATATAATCCATTATAAGGGATAATACACTAGTAATCTGTCAGAGGTTTTCGGTTTTTCTCATTCATCGTGTTAAAATTATTTGATCATGAAAGAAATAGTTTCGTTAAATAATTGAACTCAAATATAACTGAAAATTATTTTGTAAAAAGATGAAATAGTCACGTTTAATTTTTCATAAACTAGGTGATTTTTTTTCCAGTTTGACTCTGATTTTGATGGTGGATATACATTATCAGTGGAACATGCATTTGGTGCAGGTATTCAGTTATATAATTCTATTCTAGCAACAAGTGTTGTTTAAATAGTTCACATTCAATCTACACATTCAATGAGAATAACTACATAGTTGTAAAATATGAAATGAGTGTATATGCACATTTGAGCTTCTTGCAGACAGGCAAACGTGTTTCGGAGATGATTTAAATAAACGCTGTTTCAGGATGCAAAATTAACGGGAGTCCGGAGTCAAATACTCCCTGATTTACTGTCGGACTCCCTGATTTGACATATGCAGGAGTCCGTGTGACTCTCTGAAAATTCTGTCATGTTACTAACTACATATGTAGTTCGTTCCAAGAGTACGGCCTCACGGAATTACCGTATTTTTTCAGCTAATGTCCAAAGAAAATTTGGCAGACGTGCAACAGCATGAATCTTAAAAATAAACCTATGCGGTATTGTTAATATTTTGAATTTTGAATCTCAGACTGCGGACTCCCTCATTTTGCTGCGGACTCCCTCTTTTTGAGGGTAGGGAATCCGTTGGACTCCCGTGTTCAAAAGTTAATTTCTACCCCTGCTGTTTAACAGGTGGCGAGTTCTCATCGCGAGGAACAGTGACAGTCAAGTCAGTGAAGTCTGGCTTTGCTGTATTCACACAAGACCGGCCACTCAACCATGAAGAGATAGAGAAGCTTCGTGTAAGTTGGAAGAGTTCATCACCTCTTAACACACTACAAGACCTTATAAAATGTTCCTGTATATTTCTGCACGAGCTCATTGTTTATCCTAGCGTAATATTTATCTTTCTCAGTATGTTCATTCAAATCACATATGGTAGCCTGTCGTTAAATGAGGGTAATTTCACAAGTTAGTTTACGGAGTACAGAATCGCAGCATGTGCAGTAACGTGATATGATTTTATTCGTGGAAAAATAGCATGCGGCCGAGTCGGATGGTTTCTACATGATCCGCATTCCCACAAAGCCTGAGCTGTATGTGTCTACATTTATAAAAGCAGTAAGTATTATGTATGCAACGTGAATACAATTTTGACTGACCAAGTCATTGCATTTAAACATGTAATTTTGAATAAATTTTCTTTTAATTTGAGGAATGAAATTTCTTTGTGTCCGTCGCATGTGTTTTAATCTATCATGAATCATTTGTCTTTTTATGGTCTTTTCAGTGTTCCCTGTATGAGTCGGAACTTTCTGATGTGATACGTATTCACCTGGACCAAACGGGTGATGTGATTGGAGTGTCGCTAACAACAGTGCCTGCTCTGTGTCAGGGACTTGAGCCCCCAGACTCAAATTTGACAAATTTTAACACGTCGGTAGAAGTAGCACAGACTGTCACCGGGCCAACGTAAGTTGTAACACTGGTCACGAAAAGATGGTAATGCAGCTATACAATATATATATAGCAAGCTACAATGTACCTATGAAACCTAATTGCGATTGTCACTGATGCATAATGTGCATCGCCATATTAAAAATTTTGCATGGTAGAGTCTGTTTTTGTATAATTGTTGGTCCCTAAATTGTTCCCTTTTCTCGTTGTCGTCTAGGCCAGACACGTCTACGTATCTTCAGAAAATGGCGAAGGATAAGGAGCAGAAGGTGGCCGGGGAACAAGACAACCGGTCGTTCTTTGCCAAATACGTGAGTATCGTTAATTTTCGATATTCACTCTCCAAAAATTGCACATGTAAATCGAAAAGTATATGATGAAAACACACAGATCTTTGTAAGTTACGTCTCTTGTTTTCATGGCAGGAGGACAACCATAGCTATTAGTGGGTGATATGCTCTGTTAGGTCTGTAGGTTTTGCAATTGTTTGAATGCATTAGAAATACAATGAACTTTACATGGCTTATGTCTTTTTCAGTGGATGTACATTGTGCCCGTGGTCGTCTTCATGCTAATAACAAGTGCATCGGATCAAGGGAGCGGTGGTGGTGGCGGTGCAAGATGATGAGCTCTCCTCCTTTGCGTTTTTTTTTCCGAATGGCAAGCATACCGAGCGAACGTGACACCTCGTGGAAAGAAACCATCATTCGGTACTGGATTAATCTTAGCACATTGGTGCTAATTGATTCAGGGCAAAATTTATTAAGGCAGCACCTCGTCTGTATTACAAATCCGCACACTTCTGTGCGTGCGTGACGTTGAGTGGAGTCGCACGATGTGAAGAGATTGGGATAACAGCTTCGTAGCAAATGTATATAGAGTATATTTACCACTAATTTAAAGTAATTTACTTGTTCACATAAACACACTGTTGTGTAGAGTGTAACATTGCTACCACATTGTTTCCTAAGATGTACGTGTGCTCTCTTTATGTCCAAAGTGAAACGCTGCCTTTTATTTGTATGTGTGATTGCTTCAGGAGTGATTGCTTAAATGGTACAATTCCTTGTTTGTGGTTCTTGTTGTAACCATTCATAATTTTAAAGATAGCAGTGCAGTGACTGTGTGTTAAACTGCAGGAACGTTATTTAAAAAAAAACATGCATCATGACTTGCTGCTGCTAGTTTTTACCCTCTAATATTAAACATAATTATAACTAAATGATAACCTTTGACCTGTGAGAGATAGTGCTAATAATTCAGACTGATGAGTACAGTTGAGACCAACACTCGTTAAGCAGTTTACCTTCCATATAATGTCATCATGCAGCAACTTGTTTGTCAGTAAGCAAGGACAGTATCAAATAAACTGTTCAACATGTATATGCTCTTTTCATGTAGCTTCTGCTCTGATAAATCATTGTTTTTCCTTGCGCATTTCCTATCAAATATGATTGCTTGGCAGTAGCTTCAATGTATTACAATTTTGTACAATAAATTCTGTTTTCATCATTAATAATTATTGTGTAAGTATATATTCATATATATATGTCAACATTGCAGCTCTTACGTGCCACATGCATAACACGTTTACAAAAAGGATGGTGCTGATACTTTAGTATAGTGGAAAAGAAATATTGGCTCGCGTTTTAGTAGGAAACTTGAAGAGAAAGGGAAAGGGGGAAAAGAGAAGGAGGGTGATGTTAGAGGGTACTGACAGGATGAGAGGAAGGGTGCAGAAGAGGTAGGAAAGAGTGCAGTGCAGAAAGTTTAACTTTCCTGTATTCTCTATCTTCTATCCCTTATCTTCCTAACTCTAGCGCTTTCCTTTATTGTGTCCTCCCTCTCCTCTCTCCCTGCCATGCACCCCATGCACGTCTCTATAAACAAACCATTGGGGGTTTACTTTCTACTCGATAGATGGCGTAGGTAACACTCACGTCGCAGTCACGTCGTAGTTCATGAAGAAGTTATTCTGCTGACTGATTAAAATTTGTGTAATTTAACTGTAAATTGTTTTTAAAAAATATAATGGGCAGAAGATCAGGAGGCGGAGGATTTGGAAGAAGAGCACCTGCTCGTCCAGCACCAACCAGGTATAATCGAGTGTGTCCTCCCAACGATTTTTTGGTTTTCGGTAAATATTGAACACTGTCACTGTGATGATGTAATCTGCGCATGTTCAATGATGTTTAATTCGCCTGTCGCACATGCAATCATCATACATCATTACATATCATGATCTAACCTCATAATACGTCTAATCTATATAGTATTACTGTAGCGGCCGCGCGTAATTTCACGTATCTCCTCCGAAACCGCCGTAAGGAATGTGCCCATTTTCTTCTTACCGGGGGGGGGGGGTCCAATGATGAATGTGGCGAAGACGATGCGCTATGTAACTAGGGTGGCCCTGCAGTTATAGGCTTATTGTCTATGGTTTCATTCTCCTTAGCCCCGCGCACTGCGCAGACAATTTCCCTTCACGCTCTATAACTCGACCCTAATTGACTAGCGCTACCAAACTTGGTTATACTTACAAGCTTGGGCGAGAAGGTGAGCAGCGTACCAAACCAGATCACTGCGACCTTTATTTGAAACTTTATTGACCTTGATCATATTTCCCTTCGCTCTTTAACTTCGCCTTATATTGACTACGCGCTCCAAAACTTGGTATACTTGCTCATCTTGGGGAGAAGGTGAGCAGCGTACCAAAACCAGGTCACTGCGACCTTTATTTGACTTTACTTTGATCATATTTTCTTTCCGCTCTCTACATCGGCCCCTAATTGACGCTAACCGACAAACCAGGTACTACGATCTTTATTGGCCTTGACCTTAACCTTGATCATATTCCCTTCCGCTCTCTTAACTCGGCCCTAATTGACCTAGCGTTACAAACTTGGTATACCTTACACATCTTGGGAGAAGGTGACACGTACAAACCAGCTCACTGCGACCTTTATTTGACCTTTACCTTGACCTTGATCATATTTCCTTCCGCTCTCTTAAATCGGCCCCTAATTGACCTAGCGCTACCAAACTTGTCAACTTACACATCTTGGGGAGAAGGTGAGCGCGTACCAAAACAGGTCACTGCGACTTTATTGGACCCTTTACCTTGACCTTGACTATATTTCCCTTCCGCTCTCTAACTGCCCCTAATTGACCTACCGTACCAAAACAGGTCACTACGACCCAGTGTTCGAAATTCACGGTCGGCCCGTCGGCCCGCCGCGACAGTTTTCGATGCCCGGGCCTACAGCTTCTTGATACAACAGGCCCGCTGATCCTACAGCTATTTGATCACGAAAACTCGAAAACTGAAAAACTGTTACCTGTAGAAATCTGTTCATGCATATTACTTCCAGGGTATTTATTGAAAACTAATCCGTGATAAACCGTGACATACATGTAACAAGGCCACTGCATGTTATTGACTGCCCCAGTGCAATCAAACGTGCGTGGATGTTCGACGCACAGGTCCTGAATCCAGTGCAGCGTTGGCATCCAAAAATCGATAAGAAGTGGTGAGCTTACTTTTGCCCCAGTGGGTTAGGAACCTTACACATTGGGTTGGCCAGGTTTTTACGTGCACGGGTCGTGCAGCACGCTCACTAGCTGTTCGCGCGCTAGGTTGTGAGGAGTAAATTCTCACATCCCCGCGCTTTCACGTTTGGATGTAACAATAAAGTATCACTGGTAGTTAACAAACGATCAGTATACTGTTTTAAATAATATTAAGAAGATTTAATTGTTAATATATCATGTTTGAATTATACAGTAAATAATAATAATTGTCTAAAGTTTTAACACACATAGTCACTGTAGCTGCAAAGCACGTCGTCGTGGATTACTTACTAGTCATGCAACAGCAGTACAGCCGCGCACCACTCAGTTTAACGTGTCATATTGTTTTTAACGTTTGAAAAACTATATACATTTTATACAAGGGTGTAGCTAAATAAAGACTTCCTAGTAAGAGCTTGTATGTCTACAGAATACATTTACTTTGGACACACTCAACACTCGACGGAATTCTCCAGTGCCCATCAAAATTTACAGTAGTAAATTTACATAATTTTTCCTTTTCCACCAAAAGTGTTGCTAGTTGTAAGCTATTGGATACCCTGAAATGGCTCTGATGTCATCTCAGAGCTTATAATTTAAAAAATTTCTGGGGGCATGCCCCAGACCTCATAGAAGTCCATGTGTACGCGACTACCAGTCTGTCTCTCTGCTGTCAAAGTGGAGAGCGTAGTTCAAGGAGCTACATATAACACCCGATGTGGCGTTTCCTTAATTGTGAGCCCCCGGCAAAAAAGCATAAAACAGTCATCGACGATAGAAGAAAAACAGAGGGATTATGATTGGACATGATAATGACTAATAAACAGCAAAGGAAAAGAACATGATGCTGTTTATTACTGTAATTGTGCTCCAAAATTGGGGGCCTACAGCTTTGCTGGGGGCTGCAGCTTGAGAGCTATAGGCCCCAGCCTACAGCTTTTTCTGCTCAGTGGCAAACACTGCTACGACTTTATTTGCCTTTACCTTAACCTTGATCCAATTTCCCTCGCTCTATAACTCGGCCACATTTGACCTAGCGCTACCAAAACTTGGTATACTTACACATCTTGGGGAGAAGGTGTGTCGCGTACAAAAAACCAGGTCATTACGACCTTTATTGACTTTACCTGACCATTGCTCTATTTCCCTTCTGCTCTATAACTCGCCCCTAATTGACCTAGCGCTACCAACTTGCTATTAGTGATTCGAATGATCGATTATAAATCGAAATCGATCGATTTAAATTCGAAAATACGATCGGATATATCGAAAATGAGGAATGAGACAAAAGGCTTCACTAGAGCTCTTGGACTCGGGTTTAATGCTAATGCCGTTACTATTCACGGCAGTGCCGACTGGAACGCTCTTCAATAAAAAAAAAGGTCAAATAAACACAAAATGTAATTTACTACAAAGTCTCTGATGTTTCTCTACTCTATTTCACCATATAATCACCTGTAATCCGGTCAAATGCTCATTCTGCAACACACAAGTCACACCGCATGCGATCGCTCTGTGACAAAGGTTAGCGTTAGGTTAGATGGGTTGAGTTTAGGCTGGCCTATATAATCAGGTTCTCCCTCCGCCCCCTACGTTTGCGCAAACGGGGCCGCCGCTCCGTTTGGGAAAATCCCTGTTCAATCGTTGCGCCCGTTTAAAATACTTCCGCCCGATTAATTCCCACCACAATTAAGTTTGCCAGCGAGGAATCGCGCCAAAATTCCCATTCGCCAGGCCCCGGACGTGTATTTTTACCGTGCACGCATGCCTGCGAAATACACAAGCACAAACAGTCAACTGGTCCCCACCCGAACACTAATATGTACACGACTCGGCTATCTTATATTAGTTACAAGAACCGCCAATACCGTCTATGCGTGTGTGACACATTTTAGCACATCAATTATGACGTGTAAAAAAACTGCGCTCCCGCGGACCGCCTAAGTTTCCCCCCTCCCCCTTCCCGTCTCCCCCCCCTGTTTGAATTTATCTGGGGAGGAACCCTGATACCATATTTGTCCAATGGAGTCTAGTTTGTTTTTAAATCAGTTGAGCGTCAATCCGTGCCAACAATATGTTGGCAGTGCGTTCATGCATTCACACCCTTTGGCTTGAAGAAGTGCGTCCGCAACTGCAGCTGGATCATTTTTGAATAGTTTCAGGGATTACCCGCTGGTGGTTCCGGTCTGCCGCGGTGTGAAATCAATTGGTTGCTATTAATGTTTCTTTGTTCTGTTTAAAATTTGTAAGTTTCGCATCAGGTTCTCCCCTCACTGCGTCCTCGTTCCAGTGAATATAGACCTTAGCTAGGAATTTCGCGATGTCTTCTCTCGTATTTCAGGTTACGTTATATAGAGTGGAACTAGCTTGGTTGCCCTCCTTTGCATTTTCTTTATAACAGGTCTATTCTTTATTATATTTATAGTAGGAGTGAAGAAGCCTGCACACAGTACAATCTTAGGTTGGGGTGGTCTGAAATCGCGCTTACAGGATAAGGAAACACCTTTTATCTAGTAATTTGAAATGTTTTCTTGATCGATCTCAGTACTCCCATTGCTTGTTGTTCGCTCTGCTGCGTAACCTGTAGAGTGGGTTTGAGCTCACTATTTATCCATATGCCCAAGGTTTTTTTCTTCTAGTTGATTCACTAACACTCTCCTTGTCCCAGCCGACACGTCTTGCAGCTATACTCAAACTGTTCGTTATTTCCCCTAAAATCATCCGTTGCACTTCCGGACGTGAAACCTTTACATAGCCCAATTCCATGACATCATGCAGTCATTTTAGATATGCGCAGTCATGCAGTCTCGTTGTTGTCGTATAAGATTTCGAATTTTGTATCATCCGCGAAAATTTTCATATCACAAATCGCTATCTCCGGGATATGTTTACAACTATACCAGGACAGTAGTGGTCTAAGACGCTGTCCTGAGTAGTAGGCCGAAATGGGAACGTAGTCGAAATAGGTGTTAGCGCCGAAATGGGAGTAGGCAACTGGGATCGTTCACCAATCCTATTAAAGGCGATATTCAACCAGATTTTAGCTTTGCAGTGTGTGACCGTTCAATCCGGTCTTACGTGGCTGCTTTCTGAATTGCCCTACAGCGTCATCTGTTGCCTCACAAAGGCCCGCGTGCAGCCACGCCTAATGATGCACCAACCGCAGGCAACCAGGAATGACCGCAGATGGCAAACTGATCTCGCTGCTGTGCGTACGCAAGTTCTCTGCGTCGGCCACACGCTAGTGAGCGGCTGAAAAATTAAATCCCATATTATATCTTTGAAGAGAGGTAATCTCATTTATTAATCTTCCTGACCTCATACCGACATTAATTGTCAATAAGTCTTAGTAATATAATTTGCCAAATTATCAACTTGAGATGGCGGAACATTTTTGCCGTTAAGTACGTAAAATGTGTATTATTAATTGATTAAATCATGTCATGGAAATATGATAAATTTGTTGATGATTCTACAGAAAAATAAAACAAGAAAAGCCTATTTAGAGTTTTCAGCTCGCAAATCGGGAAATTATTCATGTCAAAACCGGATTATATTAACGGCACGTCGCCAACCGTACATGTTTCAAGGACACGCAATGACTGGCGGTGGATCTTCGGACCAGGCAGCAGTGGCGGCACCTGGTGGAAAGGAGCAACAGTATGGTAGCCAGCCACAGCAGCAGCAGTACCAACCTTGTCAACTAGAGATGAAGCAGTTCATGGATTGTACACAGACAGAGAACGACATCGCAATGTGCACAGGGTTTAATGAGGCCCTGAAGCAGTGCAAGCAATATTATGGTACTTAAAATGTTGTTTTGTTCTTTGTCCGTAGACGATTGGTTGTCAATACAGTTTGGAAATATTTCTTGCAACGTTTTCTGCACATTCTATGACCTGAATCAGTGAACGTTCATTGTGGAATCAATGACTAGATAAGGTGCCTCAGTTACCAATTTCTTACTGAACTTGTTTGGAATTTTTAAAATTTGTCTAGTCTAAAAATATCTCATTCTGTTTGTTAGTCAAGAAGATGTGATGCCGTGAGTAAATGTCTCTTGCATGCTTTTCTACAGCGGTTCAATGATGACTGGATCAATGATGACTGGATCAATGATGACTGGATCAATGATGACTGCAACTGGAATTAAGTAATAGCCAGTGTCGCCAGAACAGCCTTCTCGTCACGATAAATGGGACTGGGACAGAACAAGAAGAAAGACCCTGTAAATCTACCGAGCTACTGATTTCAATTCTATAGACTTTTAATTAAGTAAAACCTGCTAAAACAGCTAGACGTTTACTGCATTACTCGGGCTTGAATTTATAATATGTAATTTCTCTCCTGGGTTAACACTTAACATGCAGAGTTGGTTGGCATACGTTGGAGTATGTTACCTCTGCACTCGTCGTATCACTCTACTGTAGTAATAATGCTGACATGTTATGGAGTAGTGCTAGTAAAACATATTGCAAGTTAATTCTGTAGGATGTCGAGTTATCCTTACTGATCCTGATGGTGTGTTGTCATGTTATGTACTTTAGTTAACAAAGAAACGTACAACTAGGAAATAAAACACAGAATTCAGTGTTCAATAGATTGGCTGTCCATGTTGTCATTAACTACCTTTATTACAAAATTGGCATAATCCAGCTGCCAAATTTATTATTCTACACTTCATATTAAAAAAAGTTATCACATGTAACATGGTGCCATTTAGCTAGTTTTGATTTGCAGTCCCACTAAAAAAACTGCAGAGCGAAATTATATGCGCAGCCTGGTAAATAACAATGAGTTTCTGACAAAAACACTCATTTCCAATTGAGTTCCTCAATAACAATTCAACTAAAAACTGCATTTGAACTTGTCATAAATTTATGTTCCATGAGCATGATGGCCGGACTGCCTGACACTGACAGTAATACAAAACTACAACCCCCGTTTCGACGGCAGGGTGGCATTGTGAAGCCAAATGAATCCTTTCTCGCATTCTCACAAAAATCAATAACAGGCTTGCAAACGTTCGAGCCTGAGCTAATAGACAATCAACAGTAATAACTGGGCAATAACCTCACATAAAAAGGATTGCCATGTCTAACTAAAAAAGCTGCCTTTTTTATTATAGATTAGACTTGAATAATTAAACATCTAAACAAATTTCATCTTTTCATAATCTTGTAAGAAAATCGGCTGACGCAAAATTATGTCTGAAATAAATTACACGATAGTACGAAATCTCACAAAATCACATTGGTAATTTTACAATACGATTTTACACAGCAATAAATACTTCATAGACAATATTTCTCTATTTATGCTAAAACTTTCACATCCATCTACAAAGACTGAACCACCAGCTTGTTCGCTATTGGCTATAAATTGCTTTTTACAAATACTCTTTCCAAAAAGTGCTTGACCTAGATTTTTTTTTACAAAACTAAACTTTAAAAATAAATTCATGCTACTCAATGGCGCCTCAATAATAAAATCAACATTCTGCCTCTCTAGTATAATGTTCGTATAGTATCTTTCAAGCGCTCATTGCTCGACTTAACAAGGAAAAAATTGAACAATTCAGCTAGAGAATATTCATGCCCTTTCAAAATGCCTACCTCATATCATCTCGAGTGAAGGAATTGCCTAAATGTCTAAAAGTAACAGCCGTAAAGTGTACACAAATACCAAAGTGATCCACATAACAGCATACCACTATAGACTACTTGGCATTAACCAACTAGCCAAGTACGACAGCAACTACTATGTACATGATAGTATATAGATTTAACAACTAAAACTGAGCTTTACACGAAGAGTTACGACCATAATGTACGAATAAAACAATTAAAGTACCCCTATCAGCATTTCAAACGGCCTACCTACCTTGGGAACATTGTGATTTTTGATATTTTGACCTATTTTTCGCCAAAATTTGTCTCTGTGCACTTCTTCAGCACAGTTTCAGCTATCCAAATGATTCGTCTTACGTAGACTAGTCACAAGTTACATGACCCATAGCAAAAATGTGTCAAAATGATATACGAATACGTATAATGCAATTAGTCTGTGTGCGTACACGGACTGACATCGCTGGCATTGTTGCTATGGTAATGCAGCATCGACGTGAGATTGGGAGATATGTTGTTGAAGAAAGAAGACGTGTCACTAGGAAGCCACTATTGTCTTGTAGAATGGTTGTTAGGCTCCGTCGCTAACCAGCGAGCTCAGGTGGGCCGCTGTGCGGTAGATGGGCTTCGAAATCCCATCTGCAAAACGGCGACGATCTGAATGCATCTTCGAAAAACGTGAGATTTTATAATTCTTTACCGTTCCAAACGACCGGTCTCAAAGAATCTTCGTTGACAAATAATAGGTGAAGACGATTGGGTGCCTAATCAAAGAAGGATTTGTGCATTGATGTCTTCGATTTATCAGCTTACAAACTCACCAATGGTTCGATAATATGACTATTGTCAATGTTATCACCCTCTCTGTCACTCTGGTCCTCAGCATCTCTGCTCTCCTCCTCATCCTCTTCCTCCTCTAGAAGATTGACAGTTGATGGAGCTGCTTCAAGCCTGAAAATAATCATCATAGCTTTACTACGATGTGATAGGTGTACTATGACATCAATGCTACAATAGTGACACAGGCCGTGGCAATCTATACAATATATGACACACGTGCTCGGACATGAAACCATTCAATATAGTGACAAAGACTATGACATGAACCATACAATGTAGTTACACGTGCTAACTGCGAAGTCATGAAACATGACATGACACACGTCTCGGGACACGAAACGTAAAGAGTATATCACACACGTGCTAGGAAATAAACCATACAACGTGATTTCACACACCGGCTACAATACACAATAGACTCGCTGGACACACTATAGGTCACATCGTATGACACGAACACACATGCTGTGACACCACCCTCAGTTTATTCTAGCAGCCCGTCGGCAGATATCGTACATTTGCCTCGCCGTCTTTTTCTTCTTGCCGTTAGAGAAGAGGCGAGCCATGCGCATGAACATGCGCCGCGTAGGATTGTCCATGTACCGCAGCTTCTCACGGAACTCCGCCTCCTCATCCCGCTGCAGCGGCATCCCGTACGGGAACGCACTGACGCCGTCATCTGCACAAACATGCCGTCGCCGCCGGCAAATAAATTAAGTTATTTAGTCATTTTAGTACGCGAATTGAATATGTTACTTACTTACTGTTAAATTTAATGCTTGAATAAGTTTAGGTAATAAATAAAGAGTACGCAAATCGCATACGTTACTTACTTACTGTTAAATTCAATGCTTGAATAGGTTTAGATTATAATTAAGTTTAGAAAACGTTAAATGAATGTACAACTCGCTAACTTGTTATTGAATCGAATACTTGAAGATGAATTCAAACTAGTCAATTAAAACATAAGGTTTGAATATAAACACGAATGACGGAATCGACAATATGCTTCCCCATTACACATCAACGTGATTTCGCAACGCACGCCGAACGAGCTGATCCGTCTTCACCCATTTTCTACAGCCTACAAAGTTGATGTGCTGCATTTGTGATCATTTTATGTAAAAAGGTGCAATATAAATCAAATCAAATCAAATAAATAAATAAATACAAGGTCGTACTCACCGGTCACGGTGTCGTGGTTGAACAGAATTTCCACCTTTGGTTCGAGCTGGTCCGATATGAGGTAACCGGACACGTGATCGTTCTCCGTCGCTCTGTCCATCGACATCTGTCCGTCCGGACCGACACTCGCCGAGACGTTGACCGAGTGAGAGGACGGGATAGTGGAACTAGTGTGGGGCGGGCACGGGGCCGACCCGAGAGTGCGGGGAGAGTCCGACGATGGCGGCGGTGGCTTGAAGGAGCGTCTCGAACTGCGTGACCTGCCACCTAGGAACGAAAATTAGCGCATGAATTGCGCGCGATACGTGAACGTTCACACGTACCTTTGCTTCGGAAACCTTTCTTCCCTATCAAATGCTACCAAAGGATACCAAAGGTTGACTTTTCTCGCCATCAAATTGATCTTTGTTATTAACATTTCCCACAAACATATTATAAAGGATTCACAAAGATTTCACAAAGGAAGACTTCTTTGACAACTACGCGCATTACTAAAGAAAAATTGTCAAGGCTTACTGTCAGCAGCAGTGCTGCCCTCTAGTTGGTTCATGAATTCTTCGTTGCGTCTCAGCTCTCGTAAAAACTCCTGGTTCTGCATCATCAGTGCGACTCTTTCATCTTCCAGCATCTGTAAACGATGAAAACCTTGTGCTTCTAATTCTATACCACAAGCACAATGTGGGCACCTGGCTGGTAGCCGGAACGGTCTAAGGCTGATATTTTCATTTAAGATATCTGACTTTCTGCAATCGTGCAAAAACGGCAGACCAATTAAGAAATTGAATGTTAATTACCGATTAACAACAAGCAATGCTCAGTAATTTCACACTGGTAAGTGGTACCGAGTCAGGCTATACTCTCGAGTCAAGTAAGAGCAGTGTTGCACGCAATAGAAAAATAATCGCAATCCGATGAAAACTAGTTTAGTGAGTCGGCAAGACAAGGCGCAGTTTAGAATTCACAAAAAATTCACAATATAATAGAAACTAATAAAGTCATAAGAATATCTCACACATCGAGCAGCAAAGTAGGCGCAGTTTCCCAACGCTGCGCAAGACGGTGATTTTGGAGTACCCCCCCCCACCCCCACCCCCGCGCCGCGACCTTCAGACTGACCTGTTGCATCTCAAGGTCGTCTTCCTGCTGCGCCTGCGCCATTCGCCGCTGATTCTCCTGGATCTGTCGCTTCAGCATCGCTGTACTGAAGTCAGCCGCCGTGATCGACTGTACACAGATGCAGAGACGGCGTGAGAGAGGGAGAGAGAGGAAGAGGGAGGGAGGGAGG